CATCTTTTTACCATTGATTTGTCCCTGTCGACTTTGAACAGATTGTGATTATATGAAAGTTTCCTTTTTTCTACCGTTTCATAACCTTAGGTTTGTTCTCTTCCCAGGCCATGAGTGCGGCTGTGTGCTTTATGATCGACGGTGGGTACGCGCCTTCGTCTCATTTCAGCCTGACTAGGCTTTTTGTACTTTGCTGCGTCCTGTTCTTAAATGATAAATATGTTTTGGGGGTTTCAGTTGTTTGGGGGTTTTTTGTTTGAGACGGAGTTTCACTCTTGGAGAGCGGTGGCACGATCGTAGCTCACTGTAGCCTCGACCTCCTGCGTTCAAGTGATCTTCCCATCTGGGCCTCCCGGGTCGCTGGGACCTGCCAGCCCACACGGCCGCACCCAGCTAATGTTGTTGTTTAGACAGGGTCTCGCTGTGTTGGCCAGGCTAGTGTCAAACTCCTGGGCTCAAGTGATCCCCCCACCTTAGCCTCCCAAAGTGCTGGGATTTCGGGCGGGAACCCCCACACCCAGCCCATTAAATGATAAATGTGTTGTCGTCAGCAATGTAGAGGCACAGAGAGGAGCCTGTTCCCCATCTGGGACCCCCCTGGCTCCTGAACTAGCCATTGCTCATATTTTTTAAGTCCTAGTCGTCCCACTTGTCAGCAGAATGTGGGCATCTTTCTGTGCCCCGCCAACCGCGAGCCGGAGACAGCGGTGGCACCTCTCCCGGGGGGCTCTGAGGATGGAATGAGGTCGTGTGTGTGAAGCACCAAACAGCACCTGGCCCGTGAGTGCTGTGGAATGTTTGTTAAATACACACACGACCTTCTGAGGCGTTTCTGGGGTCGGCAGCCGTTTACCACCCCACAGGGTCCACCTCAGTCACCTTTCCACAGTGAGAGGTCTTTGCCTTTTTCCATCTCAAACGTAAGCGGTTTTCCATCTTCTGCTTCTCTTGTATTTGAGGAGCAGGAGGGGCCTGAGCGTTTCATCGTTTGCTTTCCCAGATCAGTGACGTTTCGTTTGAATACAGTTGTTCAGCATCGGACAGTCACATGAGTCTTACCGGTTTGTTTTGTCATGACTTGCCAGCCTCTATCCAGCCAACGCTGGATTTTTGCCGAAGACTGGACAGCGTCGTCGGGCCCCAGCTCACGGTGCTGGCCTCTGACATCTGCGAGCAGTTTAACATCAACAAGAGGATGTCTGGGTTTGTACTTGGCTTTCTATTCACGTTCACGCATTGAGCAGCTTTTAAAACACGTGTAGTTTTACTTACAGATGTGGGTGGTGGTAACAGTCCTGTGCTCTCGTGGAATCTAGAGAACGGTGATGCGTGCCATTCAGGCCTGTCGGAAAGGGAGCTGGGGAAGCCTACCTGAGTTTTTCTGCCCCGTGATGGCAGCTGGGGCTGGGTCTTCTGTTAAATACCTTCCCTCAGCTCCCTGCTGATTGGAACATCCCATTTCACTGGCCCAGATGGTTACGTTCACATGGGCAGTAGTCAGCATGGTTTTGGTGTGCGCAGACTGAAAGCATTTTGCCTCTCATTGTGTGAAAATGTGTAGGGGAAACTGGCTGGGATGTGGGGCATTGGGCCTGGGTACTCAATGTGGCAGCCTGAAGGGTCTACACTGAGTGAGAGAAGCGGGATTCGCTCCTCTAACTCTCTAGACACTGAAACGTCCTTAAATTCTTCCTCCTTAGCTTTTGAGACAAAGTCTCACTCTGTCGCCCAGGCTGGAGTATGCAGTGGCCTGATCTCAGCTCACTGCAGCCTCCGCCTCCCAGGTTCAAGCGATTCTCATGCCTCAACCTCTCAAGTAACTAGGATTATAGGCATGTACCACCATGCCGGGCTAATTTTTATATTTTTAGGAGAGACAGGGTTTCACTATGTTGGCCAGGTTGGTCTTGAACTCCTGACCTCAAGTGATCCACCCACCTCAGCCTTGCAAAGTGCTGGGATTACAATTGTGAGCCACAGCACCCGGCCTTCCCTATCTTTTCTCAATATAAAATAGTTATTATAAAGTGAAAAGTGAGGTCATGGAAAGCCCTTTGCGAAGTTGAGTCCTGCTTTTAAATGGGCTCTCTACACATTGGAGAAGTTACTAAAATGCTGTGCATTTCGGCATAACTCATGTTCTTAGTGTTCATACGTTCTTGTTTTGGGTTTTCTTTGAGACGGAGTCTCGCTCTGTTGCCCAGGATGGAATGCAATGGCATGATCTCGGCTCACTGCAACCTCCGCCCTCCCAGGTTCAAGCGATTCTCCTGCCTCAGCCTCCTGAGGAGCTGGATGCCATCATGCCTGGCTAATTTTTGTATTTTTGTAGAGATGGGGTTTTACCGTGTTGGTCAGGCTGGTCTCGAACTCCTGATCTTGTGATCCGCCCGCCTCAGCCTCCCAAAGTGCTGGGATTATAGGTGTGAGCCACCACGCCCGGCCCATATGTTATTTCTGTGTGGTCTTGTATAAGTGTGGGCCTCTAAGAGTGCAGAAGCGAGCGAAGGTGAAAGCATGTGTAGATTTTGGTGTGTGGATTACTGCTGTCAACAGCTTACATCTTTGTTGGTTTTTGGTTGTTTTTGTTTTTTGAGACAGAGTTTCTTTCACTCTTTCACCCAGGCTAGAGTGCGGTGGCACGATCTCAGCTCACCGCAACCTTCAGCCCCTGAGCTCAAGCAATTCTCCTGCCTCAGCCTCCCAAGTAGCTGGGACTACAGGCAGGTGCCACCATGCCCAGCTCATTTTTGTATTTTTTAGTAGAGATGGGGTTTTGCCATGTTGACCAGGCTGGTCTTGAACTCCTGACCTCAGGTGATCCACCTACCTCGACCTTCCAAAGTGCTGGGATTACAGGCATGAGCCACCATGCCTGGCCAGTAGCTTACACGTTCACAGTGCTGCTGAATCATTAAATTCTTTGGCCATAAAAATACCAGGTTTTCCTTTGTGAAGGAGGCATAAGTGAGTTAAATCGATTTGGATCATGCAGATTATCAACTAACAGATGGAAAGTGACAAAGTGTAGTGACCATAGAGAACGTGTCACCTGTTCTTTTTTTTGTGTGTGTGGGTTTTTGGAGACAGGGTCTCCTGCTGTCGCCCAGGCTGGAGTGCAGTGGCGCAATCATGGCTCACTGCAGCCTTGACCTCCCACGCTCTAAGTGATCCTCCCACCTCAGCTTCCTGGCTGTAGAGCTAGGACTACAGGTGTGGGCCACCACGCCTGGCTAATTTTTGTATTTTTTGGTAGAGACGGGGTTTCACCATGTTGCCCAGGCTGGTCTTGAACTACTGGGCTCAGGCAATCCCCCCTCCTTGGCCTCCCAAAGTGCTGGGATTACAGGCGTGAGCCACCGCTCCTGGCCCCACAGAGTGTTTTGAGGATAGAAGCTTACACCCGATTTAAGTTCCTTGTCTATGCAGACGACTAAATTTGCAACTCTTTCCAGTTTTTCTTGTCATTATACTTTCCTTAGCCTTAGGGAGCTACTGAAAACAAAATCTGGTTTTATAATAAGTTTCTTTTCATGTTCCTGGAAACTAAATCCTCCACGTTCTTTCTTTGCCTAGATGTAGAGTATTTCAGTAGTACCCCACTTGTCCGGAGGTCGGATTTCCGGCACCCCCAGCCCTCCAGAACATGGCTGCGAACCCCGAAGCAAGCAGAGGTGGCTTCTGAGCCCGGGGCGGGGCTGTGCTCGGCTCCATCCCAGGCCCAGGGTGCGCATTGAGGGTGCAGTGAGGGGAGGGGAGGGGCCCTGGGAGGGGCGAGGCTCAGCTTTTCCCACTAGGTCCCCGAGGAGGTCACAGACGCTGACCTGGGAGGCAGTGTCACAGCACTGCCTAGTCAGTTTAGGAAATAAAAAGGTGTATCCCATTTAAAATGTTCATTAGACTGCAGTGGAAAAGGCGACTGTGTTTTACGATGATTTCCACTGGGGATGATAGGAGGAAAAGCTTTGTTACATACATATTGTCGTAGGCTTCGGTCATGAGGCAGGTTCATTTCCACGGGACGCTCCTTCCCCGCACTGGGGGAGGAATGAGATGTTACTCTCCTAACGCAGGGTCGGCAGCCTTTTTCGGTAAAGGACCAAATAAGAAGCATTTCAGACGTCCCGGGCTGGATGTAGATGTATATGTTACAACTACTCAACTGTCATTTTGGTGGGAAAGCAGACAACACATGAACGTGTGGCGATGGTGATGCTCCCGTGAAACTTTGTTTAGAAAAAGAGGGCTGGGCCGGGCGTGGGCACTCAAGCCTGTAATCCCTGCACTTTGGGAGGCCAGGGCGGGCGGATCACAAGGTCAGGAGATCGAGACCATCCTGGCCAACATAGTGAAACCCCCACTCTACTAAAAATACAAAACTTAGCTGGGCGTGGTGGCGCATGCCTGTAATCCCAGCTACTCAGGAGGCTGAGGCAGGAGAATCGCTTGAACCTGGGAGGTGGAAATTGCAGTGAGCCGAGACTGCATCACTGCACTCCAGCCTGGGTAACAGTGAGACTCCATCTCAAAAAAATTTTATAAAAACAATCTAGTTGTATCGTTTGGTTATATCCATCCAGGGTATTACCGTCTTTGTGACATGTTTGTACAGGTCTGAGAAAGAACCCCAGTTTAAGTTTATTTACTTCAACCACATGAATCTGGCCGAGAAGAGCACAGTTCACATGAGGAAAACGCCCAGTGTGTCACTCACTTCCGTGCACCCGGATTTAATGAAGATTCTCGGTGACATCAACAGTGACTTCACCAGGTGATTCCAGCCACTTCTCCAATCAGGTGTCCCCTTTCTAAGAAAAAAGACACGGAAAGTCCCTTCAAAGCCAAATGACCCAGAGCCCTTTTCATGGGGTTCAAGCTTGAACCACCTTCATGGGCGCAACTTCCAGACACACACTTGGGAGCCCCTAAGTCACCGGTTCCCTCGCCCAGGACTCCCTGAGCCTTTTAAATGCCACGTGCGCCCGTTCCATTTCCTGTTCTTGTTTTGGAATGCTTGCTTTCCCCGTCTAGCCATGTGAATAACGAGCTCCCGGGAAAGGAGCGGAGGGGAACCATCGTAGTAACCTTGCTTCCAGTTCATCATCTTCACCTCTTCCGCTGCTGGCCCGTGCTGTGCGCGTAACCTGTCTTCCTATTTTCTCTCCTGAATAGTCTTCTTCACGTTTATACGCGTAAAGGAGCGTGTTCCAAAGAAGACGTACCGACTACTGACCCATGTTGGAACTCTTCCTTTTGAATCATCCTTGGGTTCCTCTCCGTATTCTCCTGGAAGTAAGTTTCAGATGAAGCTGAACATGAATGCAATCCTGCTGTAACTGGAGTCCTGCCGTGCTTTTTTCTCGTTCTGTGCCTCCCTGGCGGTGGCCCCCACTCTCCTCCCAGGAAGGAAGGGAGAGGAGAAAGGCCGCTGCTCCCTGAACTGCCTGGAACAGCAGGGGCTCAGAGCTGGCTGGGATATCAGCCTTCCCTTTGAGTTCCTGCCTGCCTTTGGTTTTTTTGGAACAGAGTTCCCACCTGTCCGCCCAGGCTGGAGTGCAGTGGCATGAATTTCAGCTCATGCAACCTCCACTCCTGAGTTCAAGTGAGTTCTCATGCCTCAGCCTCCTGAGCTCCCGAGTAAGCTACAGGCATGCGCCATCACACTCGGCTGATACTTGTATTTATAAGAGATGTGGTTTCACCATGTTGGCCTGGCAGGTCCTGGAACTCCTAACCTCAAGGTGACCCACCCTACCTCAGCTCCCAAGTGCTGGAGTACAGGCATCGGCAGCCACT